GTGGTGGATGCCTGTGGTCCCAGCTACTTGGGAGGCTGAGGCAGGAGACTCGCTTGAGCCCAGGAGTTGGAGGTTGCTGTGAGCTGTGATGTCACAGTACTCTACCCAGGGGACAGTTTGAGGCTCTGTCTCAAAAAAAAAGAAAAGTCAATGCCATCAACAAAGGACTTGAATGCAAGTGCTCGCTTAATAACTTCTGCATCTTCCAGCTTAGACAGTGTTGTTGATTTTCTTAGAGACACAGTTCATATCACTGAAGGGAGCCATCCAGCCAGTGTTGTGATGCTTTGAATTCTGGGATATTTCGAACTGTGGTGCCTTTGCTCTCCTGTCAGCAGTCCGTTCACAGATTGTTTTCCAGCTCAGGAAATAAAGGTTGCTGACCTGAACCACACTTGCACTTCTTAGCATTTCCTCTGTCCACATGTAGACTGAGGTTATTGTATTCTACCCACCATTTTTGGACTATTTGGATATGCAAATTCTCTTTGAAGAAAGCCATAAGATTCTTGCCCTGAGAGTCCTCGACAGTTCCTTTTTTGTACTCAACTGAATAGCTCTTTCTTTTTGTACTCATCCTGTCTGGGGGTACAGATACTCAGGAAAAGCAGAGATAGGCCAGCAAAGCTGATGTGTAAGGGCTGAATTACTTACTGTATTTGGGATCCAGCGAGCACTGGGTCCAATCTGCACAGTGAAGCTGGGATGATCTCTCTGAGCTCAGTAGCAGACTGCTTGCTGAAGCTTTTCCCCTATCCCCTGGTGTTTGTGGTGGTTGTGGTGGTGGTGGGGGAAGAGAGGCCCACAGACTGTTGCTGACTGGTGCTGGGGAACAGTAGCTTTACTGGTGTTTCTGTGGGGTGAGAGAGGCTCACAGACTGTTGCTGGACTCGTGCTGGGTAAAATAACCACATCTTTCCTTCTTCCCCCTGGGGACATACAATATGGTAAAAAAGGGGAGTGTCCTGCTCCTCATTTCACTAAGGAGACTTTCACTGTGGAGGCCCCCAGTCTCTATGTCTCCGTCTCCACCTGAAGCCTCAGTGTGCACAGGATTCCTGGAACCTGACAGGGGGAGCCAACCTTGTTGGTGGGGCTGACACTAGTGATGTGTGAACTCCTTTCCCTAGCCGTTTGCACTGCGCAATAGGATGCCTGTGACCGTGGTTACCACGCACACCCGCACAAGTGCAAATGGCTCGGAGAAAGAAGCTGTGGCAGATAAAAGGTATTCTAGTCTTCCTTGCTGCTCTGTGCCACAATGCCTGGCATGGCTATGCAGATAGCTACGCCCATCACTAGGTCTTATTATCGGGGTAGGGCTTAGTACTTAACAAATGCATAGAAATCCTGCTAGGGCTTATTTTTTTGGGTAGGTCTCATTTTTGGGGAAACACAGTAGTTATCAATTGTTTGGCGGGCCTGGGCTGGATTTGAAACTGCCAGCTCTGGTGTAAGTGGCTGGTGCCTTAGCCGCTTGAGCTACAGGTGCCACCAGGACCATTTGTTCTTAATCATCTTATCACCCTCTGAGATTTTCATGTCACACATTACTTTGTATTACATTATGTTCTGTGGTCCTTTGGAGGCCTGTGAACGATTGCAATCTATAATTTTTTTTTTTTTTATCCCTCAAGAATTAAGTTTTGTTCTCTTTGAAAATGCAAGTGTTGACTGGGCATGGTGGCTCACTCCTATAAGCAATCTGGGAGGCTGAGGCATGTGGATTGCCTGAGCTCAAGTTTTCAAGACCAGCCTGAGCATAGCATGACCCCATCTCAAAAAAAGAGCCAGGTGTTGTGGTGGGTTCCTGTATTCCAGCTACTTGGGAGGCTAAGACAAGAGAATCACTTGAGCCTAAGAGTGAGGTTGCTGTGAGCTACGACACTACACCACTCTACTGAAGTTGACAAAGTGAGACTCTGTCTCAAAAAAAAAGAAAAGACAAAATGAAATTGTGTGTGTTTAGTAAGAGATTTTTTTGTAGGTCAATTAATGTTTTGAATTAAATGTTACTTCTGTCTTACGTGGTGTTTACATAGGGGTTATACTTGATAAAATAGGCTATACTTTTAATGTATTTGATATTACTTCATATTTCCAGATTTCTGACTTGTTTTTATTTTATTGCTATTTTTACATGAATGTCCGTTAATCTGAAAATGAAAGGTCTCATTTTTATCTGACTTACCTTGCTAGCTTGCATGCTGAATTTGAATTGTCTTTAATTTTAATTTGTAAAATTGGTTTGAGGTAACAGTTGATAAACTTGTCAGTGAGAATCAGAGGACATGTGTGGTATAAACAGTGTAAGTTGGGACTTATTTCCCGCTTGTGGGTTTGAGGTAGTTCACAAGTATTTTATTTTTTCCTGTTTATGGGGTTGTAAGATCCTTCCTAGTTAAATTTTTATTCAGAGAGGAAAGGAATATCTCCAATGTATTTTCTTTTTCGCTTCAAAGAAAGTCGATTGTGCTTGGGTGGGTAGCACCTCTGTTTTTGTTACATTGCTATTAGCACAGTTCAAGAAAAAGTTTAATGAATGTTTGAATCAAATGTATTGAAATGATGTCAGATTACTTTCTTGGATTTTATTTTATTTTATTTTTACTTTTTTTTTTTGAGACAGAGCCTCAAGCTGTTGCCCTGGATAGAGTGCCATGACATCACAGCTCATAGTAACGTCAAATTCTTGGGGCTTAAGTGATTCTCTAGCCTCAGCCTCTCAAGTAGCTGGGACTACAGGTGCCTGCCACAACACCCAGCTATTTTTTGGTTGTAGTTGTCGTTGTTTGGCCAGCCCAAACAACATGTGATGTATGTGGCTGGCACCCTACCTGCTTGAGGTACAGGTGCCAAGCCAAGCCTATTTTTTAGATTTTAAAATGACATGAAATGCTTGTTTTCAAAGGATTAATATTCTTCATCTTTTTTCTTGACCTTTTTTATTAAGATAGTAATCCAAATAGTGGCACAAGGAAGTGTAATATTCTCAGACTATTCTTCTGTTCCAAAATAATCTGTTTTTTTTTTTTTTTTTTCTTAGAGATAGAGTTTCACTTTGTCACCCTCGGTAGAGTGCTGTGATATCATAACTCACAGCAACCTCCAGCTCTTGGGCTTAGGCTCTTGCTTCAGCCTTCCGAATAGCAGGGATTATGGGTGCTTGCCACAATGCCCAACTATTTTTTTTGTTGCAGTTTGGCCAGGGCCAGTGCCTTACTCACTGAGCCACAGGCGCCGCCTTTTTTGTTTTTGTTTTTGTTTTTGAGACAGTCTCACTGTGTCACTGTTGGTAGAGTGCTGTGGCATCATAGCTCACAGCAACCTCAAGCTGTTGGGCTTTAGTGATTCACTTGCTTCAGCCTCCCAAGTAACTGGGACTACAGGAACACGCCACAATGCCTGGCTATTTTTTCATACTAGGCCCGTGCTGGGCTTGAACTCACCAGCCTAGGTGCATGTGGCTGGCGCCCTATTCACTGAGCTACGGGCGCCTAGTGATTTTTTTTTTTTTAAGACTTGTTTTCCATGATAACTTTTTAAAATGACTTTAGATGTTTATATCTGAGTTTTTTGGCCAATGATTGGTTGTTTTGTCACTCTATTATAATTCATAGTATATTCATTAATTATTTTGTTAATATTTAGCTGCAAAACAAATAGACTTTATGGACATATATGAACAAAAGTAAAGTATTAGCAGCAATGTAATTTAAGTGTCTTTGTTTTATACCTGTCTGTATTTTAACGGGGAATTAGAATTTTCTCTAAATAGCAGGTCATAGTGAAGGAGGATGGTTTGCTCCACTCTCCCTCATTTCTGATAATGGAAGAAATAGTTGAACTTATTTAGAGGTTATCTTCTCTCTTTAATATCAGCTAGCTGAGTTCTATTTTGTTTTTATTGTTGTTGTTTGTTGTGACAGAGTCTTACTTTGTTGCCCTGGGTAGAGTGCTGTGGCGTGACAGCTAACAGCAACCTCAAACTCTTGGGCGTAAGCAATCCTCAGCTTCCCAAGTAGTTAGGACTATAGGTGTCTGCCACAACGCCAGGCTATTTTTTTTGGGGGGGGGGTCATTATTATTGTTGTTTATCAGGCCTGGGCCGAGTTTGAACCCACCTGCCTCAGTGCATGTGGCCGGCGACCTAACCACTGAGCTATGGGTGCTGAGCCCTAGGTGAGTTCTTGAACGCACCTTATGAGCTGTGACTTTATTAAAGCTCATCATGTGTGGTCAGCTATGTGTTACTATCCGTGGCTAGGTCCATCTGTACAAAACATAAAATTTTCTAGGTAGTTTTTCATAATAGTTTTAGTTTCAGTTAAGTGTCTTTGTTGTCATGTTTTTTAGTAAAAGTTGGAAGGAATATGTTTTTCTTTGTATAGGTTAATACGAAGTGTGGATTGGACACTTTGGACCTTACAAAGGGAATGTTCCCAATGCTTGAGCAAATTCATTTTGATTGAATATTTGACATTTCATATATGAAGGCATGTTGATCCAGGTCTTTGTGACAATGGAACCGAAATTTAATTTTGAAATCAAAATTAACTTTTTTAAAAAATTAAATTATCTTACACTTTGTGATTTCTAAATATTAAGTGAAAGAATGCAAAACTTAGATTCTGACTGTTTTGTGTTAAACTCCCTTATAGAGGAAATGGGGAGTCATCTTAAGAGTACAATTCACTGTATCTTTTGTCCTCCTAGGTTTTGGCACAAATACCAGTGGGAACAGTATTTTTGGAAGTAAACCGGCACCTGGGACTCTGGGGCCTGGGCTTGGTGCAGGATTTGGAACAGGTAAGAAATTGCTACCATGAGATCTAGGAAGTAAGAAAATTTAGCTCTTCATAGGATAGGCGTGGAATTAAGAGGCCCAGATTTGCTTTTTTTTTTTTTTTTTTTTTGAGACAGAGCCTCAAGCTGTCCCCCTGGGTAGAGTGCTGTGGCATTACAGCTCACAGCAACCTCCAACTCCTGGGCTCAAGCGAGTCTCCTGCCTCCACCTCCCAAGTAGCTGGGACCACAGGCGCCCGCCACAACGCCCGGCTATTTTTTGGTTGCAGCCGTCATTGTTGTTTGGCGGGTCCGGGCTGGGGATTCGAACCCGCCACCTTAGGTGTACGTGGCTGACGCCTTAGCCGGTTGAGCTATAGGCGCCGAGCCCAGATTTGCATTTTTAAACTTGGATTCATCAGAGCATTCCCAGCAGTTTTGCTTTATCACGATTTGAAACACTGGTACAGTTATCTTAGAAATTACATCTTTCTTTATCTACCAAATGTTCTCTGATAGTCCTGGCCTTTCTAATAGGGATTTGAGACCTTGAACTATTTGTAGAATAAACCCTAATAGAATAAGAGAACATGCTGATGTCCATATCTTCCAGTTAGTTTCATTGTCATATAGACCTTGATCAATAATTTTTTTTACAGTGCTTTTGAGGATGTTTATTGCCTCTACTCACCCTGTGTTGTCTTTGGTGAAGGGTCTTGCTCTGTTGCCCAGGTTAGAATGCAGTGGCCCAATAATATTTCATTGTAACCTCGAACTCCTAAATTTGAGGGATCTTTCTCCCTCAAAGTAGCTGGGCACATGCCACCACACCTAGTTAATTTTTTAACTTTCTGTATAGATGGAGTATTGTTGTGTTGCTCTTGATGGTCTTGATCTCCTGGCCTCAAGCAGTCTATCTACCGCGCTAGGATTAGTCACAAACTGTTTCCATAGTCTCTGTTTACACTGTCTAGTTATCTGTTGTTTCTATCATCCGAGCATTCATCTGCTTTCTATATCATACAAACTTGTTTTATATTCCAAACTTTTTTTTTCTTCATTTTCGTGTAAGTGCTGGTAAAAAAAAGTTTCAACAATTTAGAAATATGAAACTTTAGCCTTGGCCAGACACAGTGGCTCACACCTGTAATCCCAGCACTTTGGGAAGCTGAGGCAGTAGGATCACTTGAGAGTAGGAACTGGAGACCTGCTTGGGCAACATAAATTAAGTTGGGTATGTGTGCACATGCCTGTAGTCCCAGCTACTTGGGAGGCTGAAGCATGACAATCACTTGAGCCAGGAGTTTGAGGTTACTGCATGCTGTGATAGTACCACTGTACTTCAGCCTGGATAACAGAGCAAGACCCTTTTTCTAAAAAGAATACAAATACACACAGACAGAAAAGTTGAGAAGGAAGGAAAAAAGATAATTTTTCATCTCTGAAGTGACAGTGGGTGAAATTTGGGCAGACATTTTCTATGCATTTATATTATGTTTTTTTATATGCATTTTTAGGGCTTAGGATTATATTTTTTTTTTTTTTTTGAGACAGAGCCTCAAGCTGTCCCCCTGGGTAGAGTGCCGTGGCATTACAGCTCACAGCAACCTCCAACTCCTGGGCTCAAGCGAGTCTCCTGCCTCCGCCTCCCAAGCAGCTGGGACCACAGGCGCCCGCCACAACACCCGGCCATTTTTTGGTTGCAGCCGTCATTGTTGTTTGGCGGGTCCGGGCTGGGGACTCGAACCCGCCACCTTAGGTGTACGTGGCTGGCGCCTTAGCCGGTTGAGCTATAGGCGCCGAGCCAGGATTATATTTTAAAATGGAAACTGTAACCTATGTGAGTAAATTTAAAACCAGAGGCCAAGATGCATTAGTTGGTTAGGTAATGGACTATAACTGGCATTTTAAGAAAATGAACTATAAGGCTCAGCGCTCATAGCACAGTGGTTATAGGGAACCCAGCCCAGGCTAGCTAAACAACAATGACAATTGTAACAAAAAATAGCTGGGTGTTGTGGCGGGTGCCTATAGTCCCAGCAACTTGGGAGGCTGAGGCAAGAGAATCACTTCAGCCCAAGAGTTTGAGGTTGCTGTGAGCAGTGACACAATGGCACTCTACCATGGGCAACATAGTGAGACTCTGTCTCAAAAAAAAAAAAAAGGAAAACCAAACTGAACTACAATTAGAAATTATTGTGCATAGTAGGATAAACATCCTTTTAATGAAACTTTGTTTCAGTTACATATGTGTTATATGGTCAGGGTCTCAGTGCTTTTATTATGTTATAATAAAAAACTGGAAGCAAATACTTTACATAGTATTCTGTGACTTGTATTTTTATTTCATATAATACCATTTTTTTCTTTTATTCAGTACATATATATCTAGAACATTCAAAATAACTTTAGTATTCCATTGTGTTTATACACAAATGTGTAATTTATACTTACTGTACATATATCATGATATATTTAACTTTACCTTATCCATGGATATTTGAGTTATTTGGTATTAGCAAAGCCCTCAGTGAAGGTCTTTGTTACAGACTTTTGCATTTGTTAGTGTTACTAACTTCTGATTGGAATTGTGTCAGGAGGTAACATTTCGAATTTTGGTCGATCTTACTAGTTTTCATTGCAAAAAATGAACAGTTTGCATTGTTGTTTGTATTATATAAAAGTGCCCATTTTCCCATAATCTCTGCATATTGTTAAGTCTTTTCATCTTTGCTTAAGTGATTGTATGGATTAGTGTATTCCAGTTTGTACTTCGCTGATTACTGGAAAGGGTATGTCTTTTCTATGTTTGGCCCTTTGAATCTTTTAGTTCTCTGTTTATAATATTGGGTTATTGTTTCTTTATTTTTAAAGATGATTTATATATTGTGGATATTAACTCTTTTGGTTGTATAGTGGCATTTCATTTTAATTTTTTAACTTACCCAAATGCCACACCAAAAGCTTATAAGAAAAGGTAATAAACGCTTTTGTGTGTGTATATTGTGATCCCTAAACATAAGTAACATACATATATTATATAATCTGATATCTAGTAACAGTCTCTTCCAGCTCTGGAGAGGAAAATTGCTAAATTGCTTTGATGTGGATAAACTCAGGAGGGAGGGATTTTTATTTTTATTTTTATTTTTATTTTTTATTTTTTTTTTTTTT